GGCTTGGCAGCTTCCTAACGCCTCAGCAGTCGCGATTGCTTCGCGCTTGGTTAGAATTGTATAGGAGCGCTGGGGCGCCATTTCCAAAGTGATAAAGTTTTTAACTGTACATGTAATGCTGCGTAGGAACCAGTCAATTCCATTTACTCGTTCATTGGCTAAAATGAAAACTTGCTCAAATCTTTTATTTTGAACTTCAAGTGTTCGTGGCGGATTTGTATGGTATGGCGGATTTCACCGTCGTTGTCTGTAAGTGCACAACGTAAAGCAAAAAAACAAACGCAAATCCAGTGCACTGATATTTTGATTTGTTAATTCAGTACAAAATTTACGCCAATCTCCTGCATAATCTTGGCATGTCATCCCTCGGCAAGGAGGGGAAAACCGTTGGTAATTGCTAGAGTGGTGATGGGCAAAGGTAATTGCGCATCCGATTCGCGTAATCATAAAATTTGGCAGGGTATCGACTGATACCGGTGCCGAATTGGAGGTGCACGACTGTACCCATGTAGTAATAGGTACCGGTACAAATCTTTATACCGGTTGTTTTACCAATAACACCAGCCTTTCATTTGCTTTTCAAACACAAACTCGCCCCTCTTCGAGCGTTGCCGCCACCGTCGCTTCGTTTCCAGCTAGCCGCCGTAGCCTACGTCACGAGATCAATCGTTGCTGCCTACGCCGGCCATGTCGCTGACTCTGTCCGCTTCCGCGACGCCTGAAGTGCGTTATCTTGCTGTTTGTGGTCTCTGTGAGCGTGTTTCTAACCGTGCGTTAGCTACTTGTTTATACAGGGAGTGTGACGGGGTCACACAGCACCTTGCGCTAGAGGAAGTTAGCTTCCGAGAGTATACAAACTTTCAGTGAACGGCAGTTCACATGTCCCCTTTTATCGAAAAGGGAGCGAAGTGAGCTATTTAAGGTAGAATGTAAAACTGAGTATATTTATAGGTAGATAAAGCTTGGGTTTCATACAAACTATAAGTCACCTGTAGAAAAGCAATGTCATCAGCCCAATGATTGGCTTTGGACGATTTTGGTACCTTGTACCAAATATCCCGAAGTATGACGTGTCATACTTCTGAAGTGTAACGTGTCACACTTCATGTAACTAGGGGTGCACTTAGGGCTACGTACCCCGTTACATCCTCCCCCACTTAGGTTCGGCTGACCGACCAATCAGAATGAAGAAGTGTTCTCCACAAACTTTCATTCTCAAAGTCGGAAAACATCGACTTGGCCGCCGGAGGCTCACTTCATAGTTAGAGCAGTCTGTGCGCTCTTCTTCTTGGTTTCCACTTCAACCGTTTCTCATGCCTCGTGGCACTGCGAAGAGCGGTGCGAAGACACGCTCCAAGGCTGCTGCCGGAAAGGCGCAGGCCAAGAGCACTAATGTGGTGTAGCGGGATCAGCAATATCTGCGAGACTGCTGGGTCCGACTTACCAACTGCCGACTAACGGAGGGGGTCCCCCGATGATCCGTGTTCTGCTGAACTTCACTCACCTTGTGTACCCGTCGGTAGGGCGGGATCTTGCTCTCTCGGTTCACCTTCCGAAGAGTTCATGTGGTGGAGCTTGAGTGTCTTGGCGAGACGTGGGGATAGGGTGGAGCAGCAGTGGTAATATCTTCACTCTGCGTCCGTGGTTGGTTCTGAATCCTAAGCGAATATTCGAGCTTATATAATAAGGTGAGGTGTATGTGTTCCCTTGCCTTGCGTTTCTTTTGCGTCGTACTTGCCGCCTCCTGTGACGGGATCTTGAGAGTTGAGAGCCTCTAGGGTGTAACCGACCAAGTAGTCAATTCGGTTAACCTGTCGGATCTGCACAAGTAAAGGAAAAGCTCACTAGGTTGTAGGATCTGGCCAATATATTATCCAGTTATCACTACCAACACTAGATTCGTAATTCCCAACCTTCTCCGAGCTCGTACGGGCCAATGTAGTTCCGATTCTTGAGGGCAGGAAGGCACTTGCGTGTTACTGTGCAAATTGAGGTCTCTATTGATACTTAAGCCTATACCTGCCTGGATTTCTACTTTCTATGTATTTTACCTGTTAAATTCCTTACCAGGCTCGGCTGCATGTCCCTTCCTTCCTTGACCCATCATCCCAGCTGTATTATCTTCAGATCCACCGGATCCATGGCGTAATCATTATGGTCACCCTATTATGGGTACACTCATCCGGATCCAGGTCGCTTGGATCCACTTCACTGTAAGTGTACACTAGTCATGGATCTGAGCTCTCCAATCCTCCGACATCGTTCTGCGACCGTCTGTGATCTCCATTGTCCCACGAAAGTTCGAGATTCTCTGCATCCACTGTCCCCATATCCTGGATCCAGGTCACTCCGTAGGGTATCCTTACCCCTTTGGATCCGGACTCGGAAGTATGGGATCTGGGACACCTCGCGGTGGAACTTGACTTCTCGTTAGTCGTGGATACTAGATCTACCTTCAGATAACACCTACTATCATTCCTTCATAGAATCCACACTCGATCCACCCGTACATAGTATATCCCATATCCACCTAAGTGAACCGAGGTAAGGTTCGATCCGAGATATGTCTTGGTGGATCTTGCCTTCTCGTGCATCACTCATACCAGATCAATCGTCGTCTCATACGGGGTGCTGCTCGTCATGGCTAATCCACCTCAGGCAACTTGCATCCGCGCCGGACGATCCGAATCCTCTCTAATCACTTGAAATTGTCACTGATTCGGGGTAGTGACCCCGCGTTAGGTCCATTCTCTTATTTTTGAGAAAACACTTCACCACAATCGCCTTCTGTACGTGGTCGGCGCTGCACAACAGCGCTCACGACGTACACTACCAGCATCCACAACCGC